CCGCGCCACAACCGCAGCCCGCGCCGTCGGTGGGCAGCAGCTTCTTTAGCTCGCTGTCCCAAGCCGTGAAACAGACGGCCGCCTCTGCGGGCCTGGTGGACGCGCCCGCGCCCGCCGCCGCCAGGAAGGCCAAGGTGCTGCTGGTCGTCGACGAGCCGCACACCGACTGGTAGGTGCCCCCGGGGCAGCTGGAGGCCGCAGAGAAGACCGCCCCAGGGTGCCCAGGAGGAGGTTAAGACCGAGGAAAAGGCGGCCCCGTGTGGCGAGGAGGGGAGGGTGAACATTGGTGTATCTGGGGTAGTGGGCAGGGGATGGGGGCCTCACTTGTCTCAAACTCCCCAAGACCAATGCAAGGAGCTACCTTGTGCAACCGAGACAGGTGTTAGGAAATAGGAGTGGTTTGGGGAGGACTGGGGGTAGGGTGGGTGGAGAAGGGCAAAGGGGTCCACACTTTTCAGCTCAGATCCCCAAAAGCGGTGGTGAAATGTACTGGAGGGGCATCTCAGGCCAGTCAGAAAGTGGGACTGGACATGGGTATTGTAGGTGGTGTATTTTAACCCGGACCTCATCTAGGTGGATAAAATGACCTGTGGCTTGTCCCCTTGGAACATGACTGAGGGCCATTTCAAATGAATAAAATGTTTGTGTTCTATGCAGCAGGGAGGGGCTTGTGATTTTTTTCTTTTTTGTTTGTTTTTCCTTGCTGTGGGGTGGGGGGCAGGGTGTGGAAGTGATGGTGGCCGTTTTCAGCTGGAAAGATGAAGACTGAGGTAAAATATTTTGCACTGTTAAAGGGGTACAAATAAAATTTGCCTGAATGCAGTAAGTTGGGAACCTCAAGAATCGCCCCCACTGCCCCTTGGTTTGAAAGAGAAGCGGCATCTTTCCATGCTTACACAATCGTGAAGGATGGGGGGGAATGGTACCTCTAGTTGTTGAACGCATGAATGAGATCCATGTCAAACGGCTTAATTTAAAGAGGATCTATTTGATGTAGCAGGAGTTGCCCTGTGGGATGGTGTGCGTGGGTGGCAGTGGTGGAATTAACTGGTGAAGGGGCAGACAGCTTGAAGAAATGAGCAGATGTGTAATTGGGGTTACTTTTTCTTCAGGAACATGGGCAAATTTTTGGGTTTTTTCCTCCGGTTTCTCATAGGGGTTGAGTCTAGGGACTGAATCTGAGTGCCCCTTCCCAAGAGAGAGGCACTGAGGGACCACAGAGCTGTTTACCTCATTCTCCATTTCCTCTGTTGCTATCATTCTCTCATTGGGAGACATGAAGGGAGGGTGGGCTGCTGTGGGTGTGATGGAAATGAGATGTAGATGTGGACATGCCCACCTGCTGTCTGTTAATATGACCATTCTTATAGTCATTTGGGAGACATGTTTGGGTGGTTTTTGCTCTTCATGACAGTGGAGTAGAAAATCGGAAGGGACCTTACCCAGGAACTGACAAAAGCAAAACTTGGCCATTGGCAGACCGTCTAGGACAATTGCTTTCACTCAGTTCAAATCCTTGAGTACTTATAAAGGAAGGAATCCTGGTGTGGCGTTATAGGATAAGCACTAGACTTCAAGGTCAGTGGTTCAGACCCACCGACTGCTCCTCGGAAACCCTATGCAGGGTCACTATGAGTTGGAACCTACTCCACAGAACTTAACAACAACATATGAAGGTGAAAGAGGAGGGAACTAAGCTTTAAAGGCACACATTAAGGCTAAACACTGTTCTAGGCGATTTCAACGGTGAAGTCTCACCACAAAACTGAGGCTTGGCAAAAAAAGGTAAGTAATGTGTTCACAGTCACCAGCCAGCAAATGATAGAACCAGGACTTGAACTTGGGCCTGTGTGATTCCACTTTTGCTTCTGTATTAGAAATATTGATAATAAGCTCTCTTGAGGTGTTAGGCAGTGTAGAGGAATCCTGGTGTGACCCTGTTAAGATAAGTACTGGCCTGCTAACTGCAAGGCTAGAGGTTCAAACCTACCAGCTACTCCTTGGAAATCCTGTGCAGGGTCTATGTTGGAACCGACTCCACAGCTCTTAACCACTACAGGCATTTGATTTGGGGAGATAAGGAGGATACAGGAAACAGTTAACACAATGAGTATAAAATGATTGGTTAAGGCAGTATTTTGGGCGTTCAATAAATGGAATAATTAGTGAGACGTGTCTGGGTCATTGGGGAGGGCTTCACAAAAGTTGAGTCTTGAAGAATGGCCGGCATGAGATTGGTGCTTACTTTTCCTATGCAAGAATCAGACCCTCCTACACCTTGCCCATCCTGTTGAAGGGGTTTGTTTGGGATCTGATGACAGGTAGGTAGCCACAGCTAGGCAGACAATCATTGGCATGGATACCACGAGGCTACTGCAGACTTATATTTAATTCTGAATGCTTGAGTGGTGTGAGCATTGAAACTCCTTGGATAGTGTTATTCTCTAGGAAGCCTGCCTGGCATGAACCTGAAAATATGCCTAGCCCTGGAGATTCAGCTTCTGATGAAAGGAATAGCAGTTCCTTTTCCTGTGGGCTGACCCCCAACTGTTTTCTGATTTTTCTCTGAAGCAATACATTGATTTATTAAAACACAGTTTGAGGCTAGTGCCTGACAGCAGTTCTGTGTTTCTGTGCTTAATAGCATTTCCCAGAATCACACAGTTTGTGTTCTTCCAACATGTGTCTAAAATTTGAAACATCTCAGTTAGATATTGATGAACAGTTTTATTGAAAGGTCTCTATAAGTTAAAGAGCAGGTGCCTGTTTATGACAAGTATAGTGAATTGAAAGGGTGCTTTTTGCTCTAAAGGCTGATTTTAGATGAATTTGTCTCACAGTTTCAGCTACCTAGATAGTATTCAGTGAGCAGATGTCATATATACCCAATATTATTTTCCTGGTTCTTAAAGAGAAAACTAGAGTGTCAGATTTAAGAAACTGGTCCCATCTGAACTATAGAATGCTAAAAGATGGAGGATTTTAACAAGCATTTAAATAATTAGGGATTTAAAAGAAGCGCTTAAAATAAACTGCCTTTCAGTGCAACCTTAATACACAGAAGATTACTGTGAATTTCTATCAGTGTAATTGTGGACAATGGAATTGAATTGCTAGGTGGCACAAATGCTCAAGCACTGGGCTACTAACTGAAAGGTTGGTGGTTCAGGTCCACACATGGGTTCCTGCAAAGACAGTCCTGGCAATCTATTCCCAATAAGTCAGCCATTAAAAACCCTCTGCAGCACAGCTGTACTCTGATACAAATAGGGTTACCATTCATCCAAATCCACTCAGTGGTAACTGGTTGTGTTTTTCTGGGATGGGGTGCCTGATTAAATTGATGGGAAAACTGGAGACTGTTTTGGCTGTCTGTCTGTCTGTGTTCCTTTCTAGTTTTGCCTGAGATCTTGAGGTTAATTGCATACTAAGAAAACAAAATCATTGGAAAATATATCTATACCACTAAAAAATGAAATTGGGCTCATATATATTATTAGTAATTGTTATTAGTGTTTTTTTTTTTTATATTGCCTGAAAATACATGTCTTAAGGTTCCTGCCCAAATTTGAAGTGCAGTTAAGACTAAACTGTAATGATCTTCATGCCATCCCTTTGTGTATGCTGTGTTGTCCTTCTATACGTTTTAACTGATGAAGAGGTACGTTTTCTCTCAGCATCTACTTGGCCTGTGTTCCAGGGATGCATCAATTACATACATTTCTGATTCCAGTGGCCAACTGAGCGCTTTCAACCTAGCCACACCTCTGTAGATAAATTGAAGCTCAGTACAGCACAGGCATGCGTGGTGATATCGATAGGTTTGATAAGTCAGTAGATGTTTATTGCACACCTCTCTGTAAGGTAGGTATGCTGAGAAATCGGAGACATAGTATCTGCCTTTTAGTCCAGGGGGGGGTAAGCCAAAACACCCCACTGCCATCGAGTCTATTCTGATGCATAGTGACCCTGTGCAGGGTTTCTGAGGCTGTAAATCTTTACAGGAGCTGAATAAGGTACATATGTTTTTAAAAATTTCCAGAAAACTAGCCCCTTGTATTCAAAGTATGATCCTTTGAATACAGCAGCATTGGTATCAACCAAGAGTTTGTTTTTAAAAAAAGACCAGTCACTAGTGAGTTGATTATGACTCATAACGGCCTGTGTGTGTAAGAGGAGAACTGTGCTCCATAGGATTTACAATGGCTGATACTTTTGGAAGTACATAGCCAGACATTTCTTCTGAGGTGCTGTGGGTGGACTTGAACCTCCAACCTTTAGGTTAGCAGCTGAGTACATTAGCCAATTGACCAGGGACCTTGTTAGAAGTACAAAACATCAGGTCCCACCGTACATCTATCGAATTACAATTTGCATTTGAGCAAAATCTCCAGGAGATTGATAATGCACATCAAATTTGAAATGCCTAGACTGAACTAAAGTGGAGGTAATGAGTGGTAACAACACAAACTATTTATTCAACCACCTACATGTACCAAGGGTTATGAGGGTCAGCGGGTCAGACCCACCAGCCAGTCCACAGGAGAATGACGAGGCTGTGTGCTCTCAAAGATGTACAGCCTTGGAAACAAACCCTAAGGAAGAGCTCTACTCTGCCCTGTAGGCTCAGTAATGAGTCTACTGGATGGCAATGGATTTGACTATGTTCCAGATGTACTGGTGTGGTGTAGGATAAGCGCTGCACTTCTAACTAACCACAAGGTCAGAGGTTCAAACCCACCAGCTGCTCATTGGACACTATGCGTTGGAACCTACTCCATGACATGTAACAACAGATGTACTTAGCTCTTTTACACTTTCCAGTTAATCTTTATGATGGCAACGCAAGTGGGAACTTCTGTAGAGGTTTAAAAGAAAAAGTTATTGTTGTGGGCTGGAATGGGAAGAGAAAACTTCATGGAAGAAGAGACCTATAAACTGAGTCGTAAGTAAATTGAGTGAAAACAGAGAAGTGATTCAGTCCAGAGAGTGGATGGTGGTTCTGTGCCGTGTAGTCGGTTCCAACTCAAAGCGACCCTGTACAGGGTTTCCGAGGCTGTAAATCTTTATGGGAGCAGAAAGCCTCATCTTTCTCCTACGGAACAGCTGGTAGTTTTGAACTGCTGATCTTGAAGTTCACAGCCCAACTTCTAACCACTATGCTACCAG